TGTTTAAAACCGAATCTCTAACATGACATAGATTATTAGAGCTACAACAAAGAACAGAAAATTTATTACATCAATTTCTTGTGTAGCAAACTAAAAATAATATAACGATGCGTTAATTTGCTTCATTAGCATAAACGGGCTATAAGAAGGTCCATTTACATCGGTAAAAATTGGAGCATCGATCTTAAAATTGCCTTATCGATCTTAAAATTGCCTCGATCTTAACTTGCGATCCCGAGGGAGGACACCCGTTTACACTTTTAATTCTCAAAACCTAAGAATTACTGTCGCCAACGAATCAGGTCGCTTTGATTTACGCAATATTTCCTGTTTTGGCGGGTTTCTGCATAGCATCTGCTACACAACGTACTAGGCAGATAGCCCTAGTGTGCTTTGCCATAATTAAATAAACCACACACCACACCACAACGTCGAAAGTTAAAAAAGTCTGATGTGTACACCACATGAATTCCTTTGCACGTATTATATACATTTTTTGCTGCATTTCATTTAAATTTATTTCCTCGAATTTCGTTAGAGATATAGCTGTCATTTAAGTAATTCAGTTCTCACTTCGCGGCAAGGCAAAAATACATAAAACTTCAAAATATCTTTATCGAAAATTGAAAAATATACTATAAAAATATAAAACACCAAATACAGTTAAAACAATTAAAAAAAAAACAATTTTTACAATAAAAATTAGAGTTTATGAGCAAAAACAAGCAATTCGGCCAGCGGGTAAGAAGGCAAATTTTTTTCACAAACTGAGTGCACAAAACTGAAAGTTTACTTTTGATCCCACTTGACAAAAACACACTGAAGATGCAGAAGCTGACTTAATTCACTATTCTGCTAAGTTACAAATGTAAACAAATATGGCTGCTATGGTAAAAAGTAGGCTTTGCAAGAGCAGTTGTGCACTTAAACAACTTTTAAATTAAGATAAAATAATACGCCGAACAAATATTAATTTAGAAGTCAAACAACAAAAATCAGCAGCTGGACAGGAGTTAAGCTACTGAGATGGCGCCAGTAGCTAAACTCCTGTCTAGCCATTCTTATCTTATCTAGTCACTATATCTTATCTTGTTCATTTGCGCTTTGGCAGCTGAGCTTCCTGTAACTGTAAACTACTCCTGTAAAAATTTATAAATATAACGCTGATTTTTGTTGTTTGACTTCTAAATTAAAACCTAAATTGTCGATAATTATACAACTATTGCATGCAGATTAAACTAAAGGCATTAAAACCTTAATCCGAAGATACGAAAAACATAATTCAATCATTTTTAAAGCACAATTGGTTCTAAAGTTCTTACTTTTGTCTTTAATGATAATTTTTTTGCAGCTTAATGCGCGAAAATACTAGGTATGTTTAAATTTTGTTTACAAAAGAATTGTTTTGTAATTATATATATATATACTTTTGGTGCGGTTGATTGCAACCAAAAAGGGAGGTGCACAATTATGTTATAACAGTCCTATATAAGAAATTTCAACGTTCTGAGACTACTAGTTTGAGTTATGCGAGATAACATACATACGTATGTACAAAAGTCACGAAAAAATCTCTTCTACATTCATTTTAAATCCTTTTTGCAACTCGTTTTGGGAAAAAAAAAAAAAAAAAAAAAAAAAAAAAAAAAAAAAAAAAGAGTCCTTATTCTGTCCTTACGTACAGATATCGCGCAAAAATATAGTTACATTGCATTTCACAGAGGTCAAAATGGATATTTTCGTTGAAATGTATGATGCCCGAAAATTTTCGTGATTACAAAACTTCCTTTATTTCGCACGAGGAAATAAAAAACAGAAGTTTTATAAATATATTAAACAATTCATAGTCAAATTAATGTATCATAACGATTAAAAAATACAAAATGTACAAAAAAAATGTTTCTAGTAATAGGTATTCGCGACTCGATTTTTGACTTAAAGATCGTTAAACTATCGATATTTTAAGTCGAAAAACGTTATCAACATATCCCCCCCCTCAAATAATGAAAAATCCAATTTAAAACCAAAAATCATGATTAAAAATACAGTTTACAACTAAGACAATAGTAGAAATTAAAAATACAAAAATGATGCATTGCACGTAATATGATATAATACTATGTATACAGAGATCTGTTTTCGCTTTAAAATACCAGAGAATTGTACAAACTTCGGGATTCTCACCATTGCGCACCAGCCATATCCCGATCCACTTAGAACAGTTGTAAATTCAATATACAGTCCAATGTAATTAAAATAAAAGAGAGTTGCTTTAAAAAAAAAAAAAAAAAGCCATTTTAAAAACAACAGGTAGCAATCAGAAACAGAGAACAAATGATCGGAAGATAAAAATCACACGTTCATCAGACACTGATTGAAGTTTTACAAAATGTAACGTTTCCAGAAAACTGACCGATCGACGAAAATAAAGCTACCACAATAATGTCATTACCTAATAACGAAATTATCAAATCTTCCGAGCATCCACTATTTCACATCCAATATTTGTTTTCATTATAAATTTTAGTAATAAAACTTACCTTTAGTTCTCGCTATGGCCGAATACATGTGTAATACATCTTCGAAGCGCCAACTGTTTGTCAATTTCAAATGACAATACTTGCATCCTTCTCCTAGAGGCAACTAAAACAGGCGAAAATCACAAATGATCTGAGCAAAACATTTATTTGCTTTAACTGTTTCTAATAACTCGGTCTTCGTAGCTTCAACCAATCTTTCTAGTTATCTAAACTCAAATCGTATAACAACGAAACGAAACATTTACGAAATTCGCGAAAGTCACACATGCTCAATTTTATTCTTCGCAAATCACGAATCTTTCGAACATACCTTGTAATTCGATGCTTACTTTCATCTCACGTAATTCTATACAGTTCTTTGGCTCTATATAGTTCTAACCATCTATATAGTTCAGTTCTTTTGCTCTTCCAATTTCATATTCGTTTCAGAAATCGAACATTTATACCATCCATACGATTTATATACGAACATATATCTTGCAATGAACATTTTCTACACTCAATCACGTTTTTTTTACACTTTCGGTCCAACTGGTAAAAATATCAAAGTTCAGTTTTTCGCCTATACTGCCGAAACACCGATATGAAACATATTCATCAAAGAATTCTTTAATTTGAGCAGTTACGGTTATTAATTTTATATCATTTATTCAATATTTCGAATCGCTTGGTAAATCTTAATAATGCATTTTGGAGAACTAACTCGTTGTCTTAAATGCACACAACGCACAATAAAGTAGATTTATAATAATTTTTCTTCTATTAGCCCTTAAAATCGGTTGTTGTTGCACTTCTGCAAATAATTTGCGGTCAGACGTAGTCAAATCTTCCGCCATATTTTCGCATGTATCATCAACAAAAATCTCCCGATTGTTTCCACGTCTGTGATTGGCCAAAGCTTTCGTCTCATATATTCGGGATTTAAATACCGTGTTTACTCGCATAACAGTCGCATTTTTTTTTTTTTTTTTTTTTTCTAATTTTTATTGTGAAAATCCAAGTGCGTCTATTATACGGGAAAATCTACTGCACAATATTGTACACTTTTGACAGTTTTTTCTGCTTCAAAACGGGAGTGCGACTATTACGCGAGTAAATACGGCCGTTCGGAAAAAAATAAATAAATCTAAAATTTTTCAGATTACGCCCAAAAAGTCTTTTTTTTAACGTTTTGCGAGTTACCTTTATTTATTTAATATCATGTTCTTCTCACTTAAAGCATAAAATTCAATTCAACAGCAATATCACAAAATGTTTAAAAGAGCATATCTTTAGAATTTCCGATACCAAGTCTCGCGCCCTGGAGATAATTCTTCCCCCCCCGTACAGGGTTGCCACTGCTTGCATAGAAATCGTTGAGCTTCTTAATCAAAAAATCATAAATGCTTTAAAAATATGAATAGATAATAAAACAAATTCCAAATTTGGGCTTTCAGATGACCACATTAGGGTGGAGACGTACATTATTTAAAATTTGATGGCTCTAGATACTGTTTTATTATAATGCGAGGAACATAAACACATTTACGCAGATTCTTCATTATTTAATTTCTTTAAATATAATTCAGAATATTTGGTGGCAACAATTTAAAAAGTGATTCCCTGTTTATAGCCCTTTGGGCTAAAAATATTCTGGGTTGATAAAATTTTAGGTGTTTATGTCAATTCTCTTTCAAAACTGGCTGCTGAGCTTAGGCTAAGCAAAATAGTGGAGTTTGCATATGTTTCTCGGGAGCAAAGTTAAGCTAGTGTAAATGGGCCCTTAGTCTTGAGACGCAGTTTTGCGTTGTTCATTGTAAATACCAAGGAGGCTATACTAATCTCCTTGGTAAATGCGTTATTTCATTTCTCATTCAATTTTGTTGCCATTCAGGAAAAGTAAGTTATTATTATTAGCCCAAAGGGGCAATTTGTCCAGAAGGGCTATATATTTCATTTTGGCATTATGCGTTGATTCCCTATAAATGGCGAATCACTTTTTAAATTGTTGCAACCAGATATTATCACCCTGTATATTTAAAGAAATTAGGTAATGAATAATCTGCATGAATGTATGTATGTTTCTTGTATTGTAAAAAACAATACAATACCCAGAGCCATCAAATGTTGAGTAATATAGTCCTCCACCTGAACATTGGCACCTGGAAACCCGAATTTTGAATCTGTTTTATTATCTATTTCAGATTTTGTAAAACTGAAATGAGTTTCTGATTAACGAACTCAATGATTTCAAAGTGGACAGTGGCCGAAATAAAACATTTTTATCTCCAGCGCGCAAGACTGTCTACCGGAAAATCTAAAGATATGCCGCATTTTAATATTTTTAGCCCAAATGCTCTCGAAAAATGCATGTATGAATGAATAAATAAAAAAATTAATAAAATTTTAAAAACACGCCTATTTGTGTGACACATAAAATCCGAAAGCTTTCAGATTTATTATTATTATTATTTTTTCCAGATGAATTTGGTAGAGGTTCCTGTAGTTCCTACGGATGCAAATTTTATGATGAAAGGTATAAACTGGTTGAAGCTCAGAAATAACTGAATGCTAATCTGAAATAGTTTAAAATATTTATTTATTAACAAGATTTTTTTCAGGCATTCCAGTGAGCCAAGGGGTAGTTGAAGGTTTTGTACATGTAGCAATCACTCTAGAAGAAGCAAGTCTCTTGAAGGTATACGTGTATTTCTCTTGTTCCTTCCCATACAAGCATGGGAAGTATTCTATTAATGAAAATGTTAGTTATAAAAATCATTTTTAATTAGGCAGAAGAAGCAGCCTTCGATAAGAGTAGATTTTTAAGGTGATCAGACAGATTTTCCTCCTCTACTTCTTTAGTATAAGTATTCTATTAATGAAAATGTTGGTTATAAAAATCATTTTTAATTAGGCAGAAGAAGCAGCCTTAGATAAGAGTAGATTTTTAAGGTGATCAGACAGATTTTCCTCCTCTACTTCTTTAGTATAAGTATTCTATTAATGAAAATGTTAGTTATAAAAATCCTTTTAATTAGGCAGAAGAAGCAGCCTTAGATAAGAGTAGATTTTTAAGGTGATCAGATAGATTTTCCTCCTCTACTTCTTTAGTATATTCTTAAATGCTGAATTTCCATCTTGGTTGTAGAAAGCTCATAATAGATTAAATAATCACATTTCTGAATTCATTACCATTTAGCAACCAAACATATGTTATAAAGGATTACAATTTTCATTGCAGCCCAAAGAGATTCTTGTGACTTACAGCACAGATGTTGGTTGGACCCCTTATTTTCCGGTACTGGCTGGAGTTGTAACGGAATTAGGAGGACTCATTTCTCATGGTATTTATTATTCATTTTTTCATTCCTTTAACCAATTAAGAACTGAACAAATCAGGCGAGAATAAAGAAACTGTTCTCTCTGTTAAGGAAACTCTTGTTTAAAAAAAATGACAAAAATTTTAAAACTGATGACAAAAATGTATACTTATGAGCAATTATTGACTGTGCTTTCAGAAATTTAAAAAAGCTGTATTTAGAGTGTTTGAAAAATTAACCATATACAGTCAAAAGTCGTTAATTCGGACACCCATAATCCGGACCTCAAAGCTACAAACTTTCTGCGCATGTGTCGCGTTGACGCATGATCATAGGACCTTTACGGCTGCGCATATGCATGTGTGCATGCTCATAATACGTTTACGCATGCGCGTTTAATGTACAACCGACGATATAAGCTAAAATTATCTAATTATCTATTTCAGTTAATGTTGCAGATTGCGTTGTTCCTAAATCTTCGAAATGGATTCGGCTTATTATTTTTTGCGGACTGTTAGAGCAATTTTATAAAAGTAGGCTTGAGCTTTCGATTATGTCAAATAGAATTTCCGATGCTGGGGCTCCCAAAGGATCTACAAAGCGAAAGTATGTTTCGATGTCCATCAAACAAAAAGTGGAATTGCTGCAAAAAATGGATAAAGGCATATCCTTTGTTTCTCTAACCATTCCGAAATCTGTTTATCAATTTCACGCTGCTCTGCGGCGGCGGGGGGGGGCGCTGCGGCGCGCAATGAATTGGAAGTTGATCTGTCAGCACTATCCTTATCTTCAGGGCAGATGTTTTTATTTTATTTGGCTTATAATTCCTTACTAAATGTAGTATTTCATCTCGATGTACTCCGTCTTTGATATGATTTAAATCAAATTCCTCGTCATTATAATTCGCTTCCGATAGTGAAGAAAGTGACATAGAGGTTATTGAAAACGAAAAAATTTCGATGGACAAATTAGTCGGTATTCTTGACACAGCAATTGACTTAAACAGCAGAACTTTGTAACTGAACAAGAAATTATGTCTGTTTATAGAATTAAAGAGAAAGTATTATCACATAAAACGAAGCAACTTAAACAACTTACATTGAAAGAAATGTTTAATAAAGTAAACAAATAAATATTAAGCTTTTTTTTTTGTAATTTTGATACCCTTTAGATCATAATTGTTCTTTAATTCATAAATTATGGTTTCATATTTTTAATTTTTTAATTTCTGCATGCCATCTTACCATATTTAAACTGATGATCTATAATCCGGAATCGCCGAAGTCCCGACGAGTCCGGATTAACGACTTTTGACTGTACTATCACAGCCTAACTAAGGCAGGGGCATATGGGGCAGTTGCCCTGGGCCCCTAAATCGAATAGAAAGTTTATTATTATAAAAATTTAAATATCTCCAAAAAGTTATTCTTAATCTCCTGAAGTGAGTATTTTATATTAATTTTTTACCGTAATAAACTTTTAACTCTTTAAATCAATAAAATTAGATGACATGATGACTTAAGAAAAATAACACAACTCGTTTATTTTTCTTCAAATCAAATCAAATAATCCACCAGTTGTTGCTGGGCAACAATCCTATGCTGCTATCTTACGAAAACTAAAACGTACAGAGATTAAAGATAAGATGAATAGGAAGCAGACAGGATGCTATACTTCTAAAATATGATATGTATCTTTTTCAGGAGCTGTTGTTAGTCGAGAGTATGGTATACCTTGCATTGCAGGAATGCATGGAGCAACAGGAAAGTTTCAGACAGGTAAGTGACAGGTTCAGACAGGTTTGGTGATTTACATTTGAAAGAATTAAAATTTTTTTCAATTATTAAAACAAAAATAAATATAATACAAGTGGTACATTTGGTCTTTTTTTATATTTAAAAAGAAAAATAACATTTCTAAAAATATGTGATAATAGCTGTTTTTTACTATAGTGAGTAAAATTTGAGAAAAAAAAAAATCTTACCTCTATAATTTGCATTTGCAAATAATGACAGTTATGGAATTTTTGATGATTAAAATAAATTCCAATAAACATAACCTCATTTATTTCAGAAACAAACTATAAACCGTTTTCAACCTATTTAATTGTTATTTTGGTGTGAATGTTAGGAAATTCAGAGTCGCTGGAACAGCTTAAAAATTTCTTAATTTATGCTGAAACTTAAAATGAAAGTGACAAAAAAGAATTTAAGAAGAAACGGAAAGCAATTCACTGCAGGAAAAAAATTAAATTATTAAACAGTTTTTAACAGTTTGTATTCATTTTTAAATACGAACAACTAGCATCAAAATGAAGTTCCAGAATTTTGTAATATAAACCGAACAAACATCTACAAAAGAAGAAAGCACTATGAAACTCTCAATACACAACATCTAGATATGGCTAAAAAAAAATTCTTATATTTCTTCTGAGAGTTTCACTTTCTGTAAAATATATTAATGATTTGATAAATTTTTTTCAATTGGATCCAACAGTGTAAAGAAACAGTAGATGCAATGAAAATAATGATTACTGTCGCAAAATAACACTTAATAGGACTCTTCGAATCACTGAAGAATTCATAAAACATCTATGCTTCATCATATTCTTTTAATTTTTAATTTAATGAACACTTTTTAAGGGAAAAAAAAAGATACACGTCCAATATTTTAGCATTGGTGAAACTTTAATTTGAAGTTAATTTAAGAGATGTTAAAAATCAAAATCAGGGTTTGAAGTATGTCTTTTTTTTTTTTTTTTCCTTTTAAATATGCTGCAGAATGCAGAATGCAAATTCTTGACTAAATGATATCTTTCAGCAAAACAAAAAATATATTTTTGCATTATTATATCATGTAGTTAAAACATTCTATTTTTTTATTACAGGTGATTACGTGAGGCTCGATGGCAATACGGGTGTACTTCAAAAACTTCCTCCTACTACAGACAAATAAAGATAGAAAGAATGTCAAATGTACGAATTACTCAGCACAATCAAATACACTTCAAAATAAAATATATATATATATATTTTTCAACACTTGAACATTTTAGATGGTGTGAATTCTTTTCCAGAGGGTTTGGGATTTTAGCAATACAAATTTTGAGAATTTCTCAATTTGTTGGATATGCCAACAAAACTCAGTTTGAGATTTTTTTTTTCAATGGCAGATTGTGGACAGTTACAGTTTTGTAACAGAGTCCATTAACCCCTTGACGTGCGGTGGTCGCACCCTGAAACCAGCAATTTTTGAATTTTTTTTTTTTTTTTTCCTCTTCCTTCCAAAATTTTTGAGTGAAAATCAATTGATTACTGATCTTTTACCTCTAAATAACACAAAATGACTGCAGAATCGTACATGTTTTAGGTTTTAGTACTTCAAATCGGATGCCTTTTAAAATTCGTTTTCAATGAGACAAATTAACTTCCTTTTATTAATATAAACAACTTTAAATTTCAAAAGTTATTCATCGCACATCATGATTTCTATCATAAACAATAAAAAATAGCAATAATTAAACTGCATATATAAAAAAAAACCTCTATATGTATGGCATTTGCTTTGTGGTTTCAGGGCACGACCACTGCACCACTAGAGCATTGTCTCACAATGCTCTAGAGGCTCGGTGGTCACGCTTTGAAACCACTGCTCTTCACAATGGCGTTTGCTTGCTTCTCAAATAGAAATGTTTATTTTAACTCGGATATAGATAACGAGTTTTGAAACCACAGAGTTATTTTACTACTAAACAATACATGCACCTTCCCAGTAAAAAGGCCTTTCTTTTCCAGAGACTTTTCTCCAACCTCAACACACTTGCTTCCCAAGCTAGTACTGTGATTTTATAAATTATTTCCTGTGGTTTAAATTTAATGTAAATATACTTTGCTATAATTAAAAATAGAAATTGCGTAAAGTTTTATTTAAATTTAAAATATTTTTTGAATATTCTGGGACAAAATATGAATAAAATAAGTATGAATGGGAAACGAATGATTCGTACCAAAGCCAAAAAGACCAGCCCCCCCCCATTAACATAAAAACCCCACAAATTTCATGTGCCAGATGAAAAGGAACTAAATAACGCTGGACATATACCAGTGAAATTTAGATCCAGGCAGTGTACATTTTGTAGCAGAAGGAAGAAACCTCATAGAAGAAGATACATGTGAGAAACGTGCAATATGGGTCTATGCATGTACCAAAAAGATAAAACATACTTTGAACAGTGTCACAAAAAATATTTGCTCTATGAAAATTTAAGAAAAAAGAAATTGAGTCTTTTTTTTTATCCTTATTTTATTGAGTTTTTTAATCCATTTAGCCAAATGTCCTTATTATGTAGGTACTTATATTTTCACTGCTATAGAAAAATTACATAAATGTTTATTTTTTAATTTTTTCTGACAATTTACTTTGTAAAATAATGTAAAAAAATGATATGTTATGCAATTCCTACATACTTTAAAAAAAATTTGTAAATTTCTTCATTTATTGGAAACGTGCACGGAGAAAGGTAGGTTTTTTTTTTCCCTACTACCTAGGTAGGTTTCAAAGTCCTAGACATGTGCAGAACAATGGGCAAGAGTAGATTTTTTTAAATTCATATATTATTTGTCTCTAGGTTCATAATATTCAATTTCTAGAGTTTTTAGTTAAAAAAATTATAAAAATAATATCGAATGTGTCAAAGGGTTAATCTATACTAAGGCCAGATGTGGTGATCTCTTTATTATGGAGGCACTTAATTAGGTGGCCATCATTGCCTCCTATGAAGGGACGGACAGTTACAACCATGCCTTTTCTGGGATTCGAACCCAGGCTTTTCGGTATTGCAGTCAAGCTCACCTAACCACTATACTGTCTGGACAGCAAACTCAGTTTGAGATTTGATTCCAATAAATTTCTCTGTTTTGTGATGAACTTGAAGCTTTTTATAACTGCATCATTTAGATTGGTAATGTAGGTGTCAAAACATTATTGCTGATGTTGAAAAAGAAATCAAATATTTTATTCATTTTTTATCATGATCAGTCCATTGTAAAATCGCTGAAGATTGACAATTTGATCCGAGTCATGAGCTTTCATAATTTTATACACTGTTTCAAAAATATAAGCCAATTTCTCTTAAAAATGTCTCCACAAGGTCATCACTCCTTTAAAGCAGATAGCATTCTGCTTTACTGCATTCAAATAATATAACCTAACCTGTATCAGAAACAGCAAGAGTAAGATGAGAAAAAATTTCTCCATTCAATTATAATCCAAGTTCTGTTTCTTAGTTTTTATGAATGTGTTTTTAATGCAGTCAGTAAATGACTGCACTGGCTGAGGCTATCTTATTTCATATTGATTTTGAGTTTTGCTAGTAGAGTCGATAATGGGGCACTACTAAGAGGTGAGAAATATTCATAATTTTTTGGTAAAGGTTCATTAATAATTCCTGTCTCTTTCATATTTGGGGCACTATGGACACCTGCTATAAGAAGCCACATGGCCCTGCTCCTGGCAGAGAACACTGTACATACACTGTTTCTATATTTTTATCTTTTACGCAAAATTTTGTCTGCTGTCCTTAATGCAAATCTAAAGCAATTGCCTTTTAATGGCAGTGGACCTTACTGTGCCTATATCGTTCATAGTTGTGGCATTGAATAGAACCCAGAATGATTTTGAAGGTGTTCTATGTATAGTGATCCAGATTTGCTAAGCTATATACCGCTTACCGTTTTCATTACATTCAGTTTCTACTTTGTGCACTGTGAGAAGCTTAATCTCTTCTTTGATGTTTTTTTTGTGAAGTGACACCCGCTCAGCTCATCGATAAAGGAGTGGTTAAAATAATTAAATGTTGGTAGTTTAGGTTGGTTAATTAATTGGTTATGAAAAGCACATGAAGGTTATCCATTTAAGAAAAAGGTGCTTTCATGGAAGACTTTCTAAAGAAAACTGGCTCATATTCGCATTACACATGACAAAAAATACACATAGCTAGCAGCTGTGTTATCCACGTGGCCACTAGTAGTTTTGTTTACCGCATAAACAGCTAGCATCGTATATCTTTTCAAAACCATTTCTAAGAACTTTTATAAAAGAATCAACCCCAGCAAATAATATTATAACAATCATTTGAAAATCCAGCTGTAAAAACAAAAAAATATAGCAACAGAACCAAAAACAAAATGTGAGAAAAGCATGCAATGCAAAGTTTTATTTACTAGTACAGTAAAACATGATTTTATTATTACACTTATTATTATTTATGAATTGCGTGAAAAAATAAGAATTAAAACTTCTCAAAAACTAGACTATTTCTGTGCTTCTGGCCGAAGTGATCGCTGCAATAATCTGTTATTGCCACCAATAAGCACAAAGTCGCCTGTAAAAAATGTTTTCCATTAGACACAAATAATGCACTAAAAATTGCTATAAAAATAAAATCTCACATACATACATATTATGAATTAAACTTCTTTTCAATAAAAGTAAGTAAATGTTTTTTTTTTCTATAAAAGTAAGTATTTTTCTATAAAGAACTAATAGATATATATAAACCACAATTTTTTCTTCATCTAATTATTAGTGCATCATACATGATAAGTAAGTCATACTGATATTTTGTTATGTGCAATATTAATGAGTTATCTACATCAACTGATATTGCTTTATGCTTTGTTGTAATGGATAGTCACTGGATATAAAGTAAGTAAAATTTTAAGTAAGTTTAAAGCACAAGTTTTTTAATGCTTACAAGTTAATATATGTGCATAAAATCAATTAATGAAATACTAACTTGCACAGCATTAGGTATATCTGCACTTTCAACATCTGATGAAGAAACTAAAATCTAGCAAGGCTGGTGTATACATTATCATCAAAGGCTATAAAAAATTATGAACAAATCTGATCATAATTTTAAAATAAAGCATGTACAACTCAAATATTACTCTAAAAGAGAAATAGCAGTGAATAAGACACTAAAATATTTTTAGTTCTCCAAATTCTGAAAAAACAAAATTTTAATACATTAAAAAAAAAAGTAACAGTTCAAATTATTAATATTTTATTTAAAAGCAGAAATCAATTACAGCCGACAATTTTAGTGTGCAGTACTGCAAAATAGACCTTGTCAGGATTGGAAAGTTCTAAAATTCTAGACCCTTTAAAACAGTTAAAAAATTGCTCCTACAAAATACTGAAGCACATAGATAAACAGTGAAATTTTCAGACTGGTTCTTTAATAAATGCATTCCTACAACAGAGGAATTATTGGGTAAAAATAATTTGCCCAGAAATGCTGTTTTGTAGTTGTGTGCAAACACACAGTGATACAGAGGAATTTCTAGATGATGACATTAAGGCATGTTTCTACTCCCAGTATTACCACCATATGTGAACCTATGAATTAGGTCATTTAGGGAATGATAAAAAGGAAATACAGGAAGCTACTACCCACAATGAAAGATGAAATTGAAAAAGGATGAAACATAATTAAAAACTATAATAATCTAAAGGATGTTGCTTACTGGGTTGACGTAATGATTCCAACAATTATCTATGCATGCCCACACTTTAAAGTGATAATCAATGATTGTGTAAGAATGTACAAAATAAAAAAAAAAAAGATGGTAAAAGTATATTTACGGGTACCCCTTGGTGTATTCTAATTCAAAATTGACAACAAAAGTTGAAATTTGCCTGTTACTAATATTCAAATTGGCATGCAACTGTCATACCCATTAAAGATGTAAGTCTTAGTGCGATGTATGTGGCTAATAGAATTGTAATAAATTATTAAAGACAGTTAATAAAACACAAATCTCACTATTAAAAAAAATTGGTACTTTTCAATTTCACCGGCGCAAATCTCGCCAAGCAGACTTAGTTGGCGACAGCATACAGTATACACATAAAAAAATTTAGTTCTAAGAATTTTTTTTATTTTGAAGGCATAAACATATTAATATGGTTTAAAATTTTGTAAAAAGCCAATAAATAAAGACACTAAATTTGTAAAAAGACACTAATTTAAGAATTTACTATGCTTTCATGGTTTAGCATCCTGATTCGCTGGTTCGTGTCACGTGACCCAAAGTAATCTCAACTCACGTAAACTACGCTACAAAAATATAATTCTCTTAGTAACTATTAATTTCAAGTTAAATCTTAATTTGGAATACAAGTTTAAATGCAAGAATTATTTCAATTCGTACGAATAGCTTACTCAGAAATTATGTAAAACCACAGTGCTTTACTTCGCTAGTGCATTCTCATTAGAATTGATGAATTTAACCCTTAATTTTGCCTTTCCAATATTTTTGTCTTCGGGTGAATGGTGTGATTGCATCCTAATTGACTTAATTACCGCAAATGGCCTTAGGGTACAAAATTTAACTATCTTTTGTAAAAAATCTATGTAATTGTATGCCAGTATTAAAAGAAACAATCAATCTGATAAGAAATGGCCACGACTTGTTTTGAAAATGAAGCGTAAAGGTTACCTGCATTTGGCATTAAATGTACCATTATTGGCAACTTTCTCGCTTGCGCTGGCAAAACGGAAAAGTACCAAAAAATTTTTACCAATATTTCTTAATATTTCACCAAAGAAATACATTGGATAGTCTGGACCTTCATCAACAGAAATTGTACCATTAAAACTCTCAACTGGGCACAGATATTTAAAGCTTCAAGTCTAAAATTAAAAATTATTGCAAAAAATTGCTGATAATAAATTATCTACTAGGGCAGCATTTCTCAATTTGTGGTACATGGACAACAAGTGACCTTTCTGATCCTTGTACGGGAGAAGATCACAAGAGCAGGCTATAAAAGATAATGTACAGATTTTCAAAAATGAAAAAAATTTTAATTTATATGTGTATAGCAAACTTTACCTGAAAATCTCAGAGTTTGAAACCTATGGATGGTAATCATCTATCACTTTTCTCCTCAAACTAACATTGTATAAAATTTTTTGCATGCAACAATATTTAAACTAACTTAAGACTACCATTTTATGAAATTTTTTTACTGGTAGGGGAATATGAGTACAGTCAAAAGTCGTTAATTCGGACACCCATAATCCGGACCTCAAAGCTACAAACTTTGCGCACAGGCGTTTACGAGAGCGCGTAAGACTCTTACGGCTGCGAATTTGTTTGTGCGCATGCGCGTTTAATGTGTAACACGCTAAGCTAAAGTTATCTAATTCAGTTAATGTTGCAGATTGCGTTGTTCCTTAATCTTCGAATTGGATCCGGCTTATTATTTTTTGCAGACTGTTAGAGCAATTTTATAAAAGTAAGCTTGAACTTTCGATTATGTCAAATAGAATTTCCGATATATATTTACTACAAAGCGAAAGTATGTTTTGAAATCCGAAATCTATTTATCAATTTCACGCTGCTCTGCGGCAGAGGGGGGGGGGAGAAACGTCATTATTAGATTATGATAGATTAGAAAGATTATGTCAACTAGAATTTCCGATATATATTTACTAATATGTAATTTGTACCTACAAAGCGAAAGTATGTTTTGAAATCCGAAATTTTGTTTATCAATTTCACGCCGCGGATTGGAAGTTGATCTCTCAGCACTATCCTTATCTTCAGGGCAGATGTTTTTATTTTATTTGGTTTATAATTCCGTACTAAGTGTAGTAATTCATTTCGATGTACTCCGTCTTTGATATGATTTAAATCAAGTTCCTCGTCATTATAATTCGCTTCCGATAGTGAAGAAAGTGACCCAGAGGTTATTGAAAACGAAAACATTTCGATTGACAAATTAGTCGGTATTCTTGAACACAGCAATTATAGGACTTGAACAGCGGAACTTTGTAACTAAAACAAGAAATTATGCTTGTTTATAGAATTAAAGAGAAATATTATCACATAAAACGAAGCAACTTAAACAACTTACATTGAAAGAAATGTTTAATAAAGTAAACAAATAAATATTAAGCTTTTTTTTTTTTTTTTTTTTTTTTGTAAATTTTGATACCCTTTAGATCATAATTGTTCTTTATTTCATAAATTACGGTTTCATATTTTTAATTTTAGAATTTCTGCATGCCATCTTACGAGATTTAAACTGATGATCTATAATCCGGAAAAATCGATAATCCGGAATCGCCGAAGTCCCGACGAGTCCGGATTAACGACTTTTGACTGTAGTTCATAATACATGCAAACTGGCCTTCCCTATGAATGATGCAGAGAATATGTGATTTACTGCTCTAATGACTTACTTCTTTAGTGTTCATTGCCAAGATTTCTTTCTGAATATGATGCATTGTTTGTGACATCTAAATGTCATCATGGATCTCATTAGTCTCTAGCTGTGGAACTCCATTTGATGCACCACATGTATTTTATGATTTATGACATATGTATAGATATGACTAAAAATAAGTAGATAAGCTGCATAGTTGTTGCATCTAATTGATGAGATACGAGCTCTGATACTCCAAATTCTGTGCAGCCGACATATAAGCCTATTCACTGGCTGGCTACACATCAACTGCTATATTGGTAAACCCTTACAAAGCAGTATGAATTCACCCAAGAATATTTTCTTCTTCTAAACTATTCCGTTATTTGACCATGGGAAAAATGCTTACAATTAGCATGTTTTTTCATTACTCACTCTGTTTACCACTTTCACATAAAGAACAGATGCAGACAGTCTACAACCAATATTAATTTTGTTATCACGGTCACATCATTAACACTCTAATTAATACTCTTATTAACACTAGATAAATGAAACAGAGAATCTGTCTAATTTTAAAACTATTTCAGTGCATATACAATATGCTAAAAATTAACTAGAAGAAATTTTAAAAAAATGACTAAATGTGTATCTATAAAAATCTCTTTACTCAAGAAAAATCAAGAGAAATTTAAAATCTTGCTTTTTTCACATATAGTATGAATGGATATTTCCATTCAGCCTTAGCTTTACCACTACCAGTGGGTATGAGTACAGATCAGAGCTAAAATCATGTATATCTGAAGAAGCTGTCCATTTGGAAAAAGAAAAAGTCACTAAAATTATAGAGAATGTTTAAAATGACTTTTATATAAAAAGAACTGTCATTTAATTCAAATTATGTACATACAAATAAATATTATCTGACAAACTCAATGCATAATACTTAATGCTGAGGTACATTAATATTCATCTATATTCTATGATGATAATATTAATGCAAGACATCAAAAACCAACTTACATAAATGCATATTTCACAAAAGCCATATTTTGTTAAAATTTCTTATCTTCCGAAATATTTTTTAAATTATTAAATAAAATAATAGCTAAGAAAGTCATCAAAAAACCATACTTTAGAATGCCACAGAAAAGTAAGCGACCACAAGAGAAAAATTTGGCATTTTTCTGCAAAATTCTTCGGGTAATAATAACTTTCTTTCAGTTGATAAATCTCCTCATGGTTAATTTTATATAAATTTATGGTGCACCCTCTTGATTATTTATGCCTTCTCAATATTAGTAAAACTAAGCATTCAAATTTGGAAATGACACCATGGAAAAAAAAGTTTCATCAATTTCCTATAAATATAGAAAGAGAGAAAAAAATTTTAGTTGTTTCGATAATTTAAGTACTATCTTTTTACTTTTTATACAACTGAGCTTAAATTGTTAAAAATGTATTGGTTTGAAAATACCATAGGCTTTTTACAGTTCTTTCTCAGAGTATTTAGTATGTTAATTAAATAATTACAAATAAATTTAAAAGGTAAATTCATCTATATGAAACTAAGGCGTTTTTTCTACTTTTTTATTTTATTTTTTAATTCAGACTAGCAACTCCTAGAAGTTTCAGTACTATGCAGTAACATTGAGATTTCCTGAAATTGCACACAGTACCAGTACTGCTGAATTGGTTTAGGATTTAAAACTGCAAAAGATCGTTTGATACTTCTACTGGGTGGCAATGCTAAAGGAGACTGCTTGTTTATCATTTCAGATCCAAACAGCATTGAAGGGAATTTCAAAATCATGTTTACTAGTAATCTGAGAGTCCAATAAAAAATCTTGATCCACTATAAAATTGTCAAGCTAGCTAACGAAGCAGGGTGAAATAATATTACATGTGCAGGGTATTGAAATCCTTATTGCAAGTTAAAACTGGTGGAAGTCTTTCCAAGGATGCTTTAAAAAAATAGTTAAAAAATAAGTACATGAAGAATATAAAATTAGCATTTCTGAAGATGGAAAAAAAAGAACTTTCAATGGGTTTTCAAAAAAAAAAAAAAAAAAAGTTTAGTTACTATAATGAAAATTATGGATAAAGTTAAAAAATTATATAAATTGTGATAAAAGTTAAAAGGAAAAATGAAGTGTCACTGATACAATATCTTGTTAAAATTAGCAGTTTCCCGAATGAACAGGAAAAGGCAAATGACGTTAAGATAACTTCTTCATTTAAAAAAAAAGTCAAACAATGAAGAACTTTTTTACCCTTAAATATAACTCCTTTACTCAAAATTTTCATAAATACTTCATCAATAAAATTCAATATTAGCAATAAATAAGTTAATAATTAATGTAATACAAGATTATTTAACAATTAAATGTTACAAAATTAATCCCCTCCCAAATAAAACCTAGATTTTTCTTATTCTTTCTTCTATTTCCTTATATCCAATTTTTATGTGTTAAAATGACCTCAGATAATGTTGTTTCTTTTAGTGCTGTACCTTATTGGAATGCATCCCCTAGATTAAGTGGGGTCTTAGTGTAACAAAATAATAAGAAATATCGCTCGTGGAATCTGCCAGTAATATAATAAATTGCATCGAAATGTCGACAGAAATACAATATAAAATTGCTCAAGGGAACAATGATAAGATATATCTGGTAGATAAATGGTGATCCATTTTCAGATTTTTTTTAAGAATGAAAATGCATTACTGGATGCATGGGAAAAAGAACAGTACCAGAGATTTTCCTAATTTTGTTTTTTAATTTATCATATAATCCTTATTTAAAATTTGTATACAAAAGTTTTAAACTGTGTTTTCTTTTAATATGCTGATAATGTTTGCCGACTTACTATAAAAATCAATGGATTGAGAAAGTTTTCAAAAAGAAAAAAAAAAAAAGTTACAAAAATTGCCACTTGAACACAAGTAATTTTCACTTTTTATTCTTTCTTACCTCAGTCAGATTACACCAACGTGGTTGTGTTAATACGGAGTATCTATATTTTTTGCACTTTAATTCTGTTGATATAATGTCATCAAAATAACATGATGGTTAGAAAAGGATATTGAGTTCTATATAACTTGTTAAACTGATTTCTTGAGTTCCGTATTATTTGCTTTGTTGATTAGTTCTCTAATTATATATCTTCATATACAATAAGATTTCTTGAATCTGCATGATTTGCTTTTTGTGGGAAATTGACAGCAAGTGTAGCCCATGATGACGAAGATGAATCTTCACCCAGTGGTGGAATTAGAGGTTGTCGCCTTGCTAAGGAGACATTAAGACGTACACCACTAATAGTCGTTCCATTAACTTCTTTAATTGCTGTTTCAGCTTGCTCAATCTTTTCGAAAGTCACAAAACCACAATTTTTATCCATTTCCATTGAAATATTGATAATACTACCAACTGGCTCAAAGGCTTTTTGCAAAATCTCTTGCGTGACACCATATCCTCGTACATAAATAGTATTTCCCTGGCGTGGCCTTTCAGGTCTTCCATCCCTGTCCCTTTCCCTTCGCTGATTTTCCCGTGCTCGTTCTTCTTTAATCTCATCTTCAAGTTTTCTGGAACTAACAAAACTTTCATAAAGTTTTCTCACTGGAGGGCGACCACTGCTGTTTGGGGAATCAGAAGCTGAATCATTTGGCGATCCTAATGATGGAAGCTCTTCTTCAAGAGAATGAGATGCAGAAAATGGTTGATATCCTGTTACAGAGCTATTAGTTTTATCACAGGCATTACGCTTCCTTTCCAAAGCTTTAGGTCTTTTAAATCCTTGTCGCTCTTTATTTTCGACTTTAATAGCACTGATAGCACCAGACTTGAGGAGTTTCTTTGCGACCTCTTTAGCATCAGGTTTTGCTTCAAGTGGACGCTTTAAAGGTTTCGGAGGAGGGGGTTCCTGTTTAGGAGCATTCAAATTTTGGAAAGCTTTTTTCTTACGTCTTAGTTTTTCATACTTTTTCTTTAGCATTTCTTCTTCCTCCGTTAACTGAGACGGAAAATGTAGGTACACCATGTTTTTTTAAATATACAGAAACTAAGTATGATACTTTTATTCTATATGGATGCTTACAAGCACTTTAATCTAACATCGTATTTCAAATTAATATAAGAAGCATTAGGTTTCATAGCAGAAGTCTTCCAAAAACGCTCTGAAGGCACACTCAGCACAAATCACTTACCGACGTAAACAAACCATGTGCGAATATGAAAGGCCGATGGTAATGCCACTTACAAAATAAAACTTTGGATTCCTACTGAAAAATACGAAATGCGTGTTATTAAACCCGCCTTTCATTTTTATCATCATGAGATAACTAATTATTTCAATTAAGCATTAATTCTCTTGATAAGAATGCGTTTTCCATCCAAATCTCGTAAAGATATTGACGTAATATTTGGGAAGTTGATAATTAACGGAATTGATATGGAAAGAAGAACTTTTTTAATTATATACAATAAATGCTTTTTTTCCTCTTCGAATGTATTTTTCCAATGTAGGTTATTTAATGTGCTCTTGAAGTTTCATACTAACCTTTTAACGGCTAAATTTTCTGTAATTTTTCATATTTGTTACAACAGTTTGAGAGTTTGCTAGTTCCGCTACGGGTAATCATTTTTGAGCCTGTATCTCACGAAAAAATTCATTTTGGATACATTTTAAAATCCGAGTCATTTGTCTCTTTATTCGAAAGAGTCATTTATTCTGTCTGTACGTACTTTAATATATATAATATATATATATATATATATACCGCTTCTAGTTTTTATATTTGCTTAAATCATTTGTCGCACTTTAATTCTAATGTTTAAAATATGCCTTACTTGATTAGCATATTGCTTAATTATTTTTAGTTTTATTGTAAATTTCAAGTGTTTGTATGTTTTTTATCTTATAACAATTTCATTGCACCTTATTTTACTTATGTTAATATTCACACACCAACACTAAGCAACTTTTTAGCGTACACTAGGAATGTTCTTTTACTTTTTTATAACTTTTGCAGCTCAATGCGCAGAGTTTTTGACCACATAGGTCTTTTATCGTTTGTTCTTTTTACTTTAATTACTTATATATATAAGTGAATATTTCTGTGGAAATCTGAAATTTTTAGCGATTAAAATACTTCCTGTACTTCGTTCAAGGAAGTAAAAAAGGCTTCAGTGCTCAGTGTTTCCGTTCATAGGTGGATTGCCTGGAGAATGTCAGATGGATATTTGTGTTTTTCTCTGGGAAGTGGAGAACATCTAAGAGAGTTGATGCAGTTGTTAGGATGAGTGAGAACTGAATAGAATAAATTTCTAGCAAGTTTTTGAATTGTGTGTACTTTGAGATCATAGTGGATATACGAATTTGGAATGAACCATGGCGCGTTGATAATCTCTCCAAGTACTTTGTTTTGAAGAACTTGGATATGTTGAAGTTGCGTTTTGTCAGGTTGGCCCTAGACAGGACTAGTATACAGTGATGATGGTCGTAGTATATATTTGCATAAGAGGAGTCTATTTGAAGTGGCCATATGACTTTTGCCAAGAAGTGGGTGCAAGCGTGATATTAATTTTTTACACAGTTTCCCTGAGATATTTCTGAAAAGTCAATTTTTTTTTTAAATCTAGAATGCCTCCTAGTTATTTAATTTCGCCAACCCAGTCCATTTCTTCATCAAACAGAAGAGGTCTTGGTGGTGTGGAATTTGTTTGTCCTTTACGAAAAAGTTACCGTTTTTGATTTTTCAGTATTAACTGAAATCCTCCAAAGAGTGAGCCAATTTTCTAGAATACTGAGGTAATGTTGAAAAAGCAGCTGGACTACTGTAACTATAGAAGCTTGGGTCATAATTGCAATATCATCTATGAAAAGACCTATGGTAATTTGTGGATCTTTAGGAAAGTAAGTGTAAATGTTATATAAATATGGTGAAAGTACTGACCCCAGGGTACTCCAGCGAAGATGTTTCTTGTGTTTGAAACAGTATTGTCAATTTTTACTGCAAAGATTCTGTTTCGGAGATAGGAAGCAATAAGCCTAACACAATAATCGGGGACGTTCAACTTGGCAAGTTCCGGGTGCCATACCTTATCAAAAGCTTTTGCAACGCTATATATATTGAACCATGGCAAAAATGTTAAAACGAAATTAATAGCCCTTCTAAGCAAATTGTTCCAGTGGGTTAATAATTGTAAAATGAAAATTGTTTCTGTAAAATTAAAAAATCGCATGCAATACAAATACTGAAGAATACAAATTTCGAATATAACAACAAAAACTGATTCTCAAATAGCATATTTATGCTTCGTACTTCACTAGCATTTCAAGTAGAATGAATTTCCCCAGAACCCTGCCCGTTTTTTTTTTCATCGCATACTGGTTTTGATTCGAAGTCGCATGAGGCAAGCCTACACCACCAAAAGTTAAGAAGGCTTTTTCACTGAAAAGTGACGTCATGCCAAGGAGACCCCGTAACTTCGAGGTGGGAGGAAATAATCATTTGCTGTTAATTAGAAAGAGTTAACTTCTTTTGCTTCAGACTTGAAAGTGACGTTTCGCTGAATGTTTATATATTTTATGCTTTTAATAATGAATACTATTTTTTCCCTAGAGAATTACAGAAAACCATATAGATAAAAGGAAACTATTGTTCATTTTTGTATTCTGATAGATAATATCATATCTTGTTTCTTTAAGTTTACATCGACCAAATACTAAAAATTCATATATTGATTTTATAGATTTTACTTTTTTTTTTTTAAATTTCGCCAAAATTTTGTATTCAGTATTTTAAACTTTAAGTTATATATAATAATTATCTTGCAGTATCAAACTAAAAAGCAAAGTTAACAAAGTAATATTCAATAGCATACTTCTAACAAATATTAAAAATAAGAAGGCACTTTTCCGTTTCGCCGGCGCATATCTCGCCAAGCAGACTTTATTGGCGACAACACACAGTATACACATAAAAAATGTTAACAATATTAGCTCTAGGATTTTTTATTTTGAAGGCATAAACATTTTAATATCGTTTGAAATTCTGTAAAAGCAAAAAAACGATAAATTGTAAAACATTAATTAAAGAATTTCACTATGTTTTTATGTACAACATCTTGATTTGCCGTTCAACACGTGACCCCAAGTGATCTCTTCTCACGTAGACTACGCTACAAAAATCTAATTTTTCAGTAATTATCTATTTTAATTTTAAGTAAATCTTAATTTGAAATACAAGTTTAAAGCAAGAATATTTCAATTCCTATGAATAGCTTACTAGAAATTGTGAAAAACCGCAGTGTTTTACTTCGCTAGTGCAGTGTCATTAGAATTGATGAATTTAACCCTTGACTTTGCTTTTTCTATATTTCGGATGAGCGGTTTGCATCCTAATTGACTTAATTACTGCGAATGGCCTTAGGGCATAAAAGTTAACCATGTGGTAAAAATTCTCTGTAATTGTATGCCAGTATTGAAATATGTTTATTTCAATACTGGCATACAATTACAGAGAATCTGGTAAGAAATGGCTGCGACTTGTTTTGAAAACGAGGCGTAAAAGGTTACCAGCGAGGATATTCCGTTTGACATCGGTTGTACTATTTTTGGCGACTTTATCATTTGCGCCGGCAAAATGGAAAAGTACCAATAAGAAAAATAGTTTTAAAGTGGCTGAAATATATTTACAAAAATTACCATTAGTTCCATTAATCCCAAATCTCTAAGATTTAGTTTCACGAAAAGAAAAGAATGCAAAACGTTTTGCGTCAAAAAAAAAAAAAAAAAAAAAAAATATTAGCATTTTAAAGATTATAAAATATTAAAAATTCACAAAGGAAAACAAACTATGTAGCAGATAAATGGCATAAACGTGCTTTTTTAATTCTCTTATTTTAATATTTATTTAGCATTACTGCAGTTTCTAATTCTAAGAATAACTTTGAATGAGTAATTAATATCATTATCCCATTTCGCAAAGCTCAAAACATTACAGAGCTTTGAAAAAACATGAAAATGCCTTGTCAATTCCCTTCAGTTGAGTATTTAAAGTAAATTAAAGGTAAAAACTAAAACAAAAGTCAAATTTTAAAACACTATGTATTAGTCAAACAAATTACTGCACCACTGTAGCAAGTGAATTTTTTCCTGCATAAATTTAAATGCTATCAGCAGCAATTATAATAACAATTTTATTAGCTTTATGTGTATTTACTAATTATTAACACCTGGAATTTAAAAAAAAAATCACCTAAATAAATCTGAAATTGCAATAAATGAAATAACAATTATATTACACAATAACACATTAGATGAGCAAGACATTAAGATTTACTGTTACTTTGACCTATTTATAAAATTCATAAATTTGCATGTTATTTTAAGTATTGTGAATCATTATAAATAAAGCAAATAGCATATTTATAATAGTAAAAATGAAATAAAACTAACTATATGATGTTTTTTCCAAATTATTTATGCTTATTTTTCTAGAAAATAGCTTAAAAATGAATTTGCAAATAAATGAAATAACAATAAACATTTGCATATTAATACAGCTACAGCAGGACATTAAGATTCCTCCACTTAGAGAAATGCACATAAGAAATTATAAACAGATAAATAAGAATACTATATTTTGTGTTTTCAACGATACACATAGAAATAACCTGTTATTTCTACCTATTTAAATTTAGAATAAATCTGTTTTCAGAAATATTGGTAAAGAATCCAGTTGATAGAATGATACTTATACAATAACAAAGCACTTGAAGTTGAATTAAGTATAACAACATATGACAAAACATTTCCGCTTTGTCTCTTGGGTAAATTACATTAAAATTTTATCACTGCTTCAACTGTTTAATTTAATAGGGAGTATGGATTGCTATATGAATAAAGTCAATCATAATTCTTACTAATCAATCTTTCCTAATTCTTAAAACAGTAAATATCAAAAATTCCTTTTTTTCAAATGGTCAGTTTGTTCTTAATTTTTGATACTGGTATCTGCTATAAATGTCATTTTGTTTGTTCTAAAATCAACGTTTAGAGCTTGTGATGGCACTTCAAAGTTTTACATGAAAGTGCAACAAATACAGAAACTTACATTGCATGGTTTTAAAGAAGTCCCTTTGAATATATATGTAAACTGAAGAATGAACGGATATTATTAGTACACAAGCACTACCTCATACACCTATATCTATCATTCTTTATCA